AACGGAGAGTCTCCAGACTGATCTGCGAGTGAAACCTTGAAAGCTCGCGAGATCAGGATGGTCTCACGAGGCTATTAATCTATCCCCTTGGGGAGCAAAGGGCTGCCATTGTGCAGCGCCCACGGAGCAATCGGGGGATCTTACTCAGGGACAGTCTGTGGGAGTGGGGCTCGAACTCAAAACCTCAGGATTTCAAACTCTAAGCCCCAACCACAATGGCACCACTCCCCACTGGCCACACCGAATGAGTAACACTTCCGTTTATCTCCAAACCAAGATGGAACTAAGGAATGCATAAGTGCTACATCTAAATATTCAAATAGATGCAAACAGGCCGTTTACAGGATTCCACTCTCTGCACTGAGAGGAATTTCAGAACATGAGCTGAAAAAATCTCCAAAATAACACAAAACTAACTTAAAATCAGTTGTCTGACTTCTATTGATTTCTGTATCATGAATCACAGACAGGAAAAGTGGGCAGAACCTGATCTCCTCCATGCAGCGCAGCACAGAGGAGAATAAAAGCTAAAGGAGCCCCAACCAAACACTGAACTCTGATACCATACAGAACATGGAATCATTTTTATACATTTATTTTATCACATATGGACTTATTATATCACAGGGTTTTTTTTGGCACCACTTTATAACGATAAAAGTGATGATAAACTAAAATATTACGTCTTTCTGAGCTAAACATTAAATGCAGCCCACAGCAGAAACAGCCCTTCGGACACAAATACAGCCCATAAAAAACACCTTCTAAATGACACTTATTACATGAAGGGAGTCTTTATTTCATTACTATATTAATTACAATTCTAATTCGCCACTGTTGGTAATAAACTAATTTTTTATATGGGGGCCACTTTGCATCATCAAGTCCTTGAAAAGGCTGATCAAAACTCTAAAAATGAAACTTTTGTTCTCATCATTTCATTAAAAAGAGCAAAATACTCTGATATTATCGATGTATTTTAATTAATTTTGCAGCTTTAAATATGTTGGGTACTTTAAAACAACACAGGTGTCTACTTCATGACATTATGCCTTTTTTTGGCTCCTCAGGGCCAGATAAGTTGCTTTAACGGTATGGATTTGGCCCTCGGGCCTCCAGTTTGATGCTTTTTTTTCTCTATAAATAAATAAACTGAAAAATAAAGGGAAAAAAAACTGATGATTCAGCAATCTTTGAAGCTTTTAAACATTATTGATTCATATTCATCATAGAAATCAGGGGTTCCCAAAGTGGGAGTCAGGACCCCTAAGATAAGGAGGGCCGAAATCCATCATGAATTACATTTTGGATTGTAAATTTTAATAAAGTTGATTCAATTATTATGGTAAATATTTTTTAAATGATGAAAGTCACAATGAAATAATTAAGATTACCATTGAAATGTTTAAAATAAAATTTAAATGATAATATAAATGCCATTGTGAAAATTTATGTATTTGAAAATGAATAAATATAGAAAAAAATATATATATATTTTTATGGGGTTGCCAATCTGCAGCAATTATTGTTGGGATTCCAGGCTAAAATAAATTGGGAACCCAGAGTTTAGACGAATCAAAACAAAAACTCAATAACCAATATCCCCCTACATCTAATATTACTTTCATGTTAATAAATGAAATATTGCAAACATAAAGCACTGCTTGGATGCTATATTTGACTGGTTGAAATATTACAGTAACTGTGCAGTTAACTGATGATGATGAGGGCCCCTAAGATGGGCCCTCATCCTCATTTCTGCTCCAAATGGATTTAGATCTAATCAGAAACCTTATAAAATCCAGATGGAAAACTGGCGACATTGTGAAGGTAAGAAACAGAGTAGTCAGGAAATCTGGGCTTAAATTACACATCCGCCTATCGGGTTTTCCCAGCTAAAAAATATTTTCCCTGGGAACCTTTTTCCCCAAACATGTTTTCCTTCCACTAAACTTTCAATTGATATTCTTGAATACAGCTCTGGTTGAACAGCCAGCTACTTCACCTCTGACCTTTTGTAAACTCCTCCACAAAAATATTTCACTGATCTTTATGAGGAGGATGCAGACCATGGATGGATCATCTGATTTTAATGAGATTATTTTTTTTTTCACCAATTGTTTAGATCTGCTGTAGCTGTGGACCTACTTTAGCCCTGGCTTTAGTCCCGTTTATATCGACTGGAGTCTGGTTCTACTCCTGGTTTAGTCCTGGTTTAGTCCTACTTTAGCCCTGGCTTTAGTCCTGTTTATATCAACTTAAGTCTGGTTTTACTCCTGGTTTAGTCCTACTTTAGCCCTGGCTTTAGTCCTGTTTATATCGACTGGAGTCTGGTTCTACTCCTGGTTTAGTCCTGGTTTAGTCCTGGCTTTAGTCCTGTTTATATCAACTGAAGTCTGGTTCTACTCCTGGTTTAGTCCTACTTTAGCCCTGGCTTTAGTCCTGTTTACATCGACTGAAGT